TTGTCCTGCTCTCAAATTACAAGGGTTCTATCACAGATATTTTATGCTGTTTATGCAGACTTTGCATAAGTTTGAATTTCTGGAGACTTTGAGTGAACAACTTAAGTTCATTGTGTTGTGATGTTAAACAGAGGGTTCCAGGATGCAGGAGAATCCTGGAGGCACGAACCTAAAGTTTTTGTATAACTACAAACACGTAGCTCAGTGATGATTCATAGCCAGATGTGTTGTTGTTTATTCTTCTAGACTAGAGGATGAATTCATAATATGCATTCCCTTAAGTGCCATGGCCTTAAAGAAATTTGAAAATGTGAAATTAATAGTCCTAAATGTATAGATTAGGTATAAAACATGTTTTGACGTTAAGGTAACGTGACATGTCCCATTCCTATTTGTTTGCAGCCTCTCACACTTGGTCACTTACCAGGTGATGTCAGTGCAGTCTGTGAAGCTTTAATGATTAGGTCTTAGAGTGAAGATAGGGATCGGACCACTGAGTCTGGGAAACACTGCCATGGAAATGAATGTGTCTTGCCTTTGCATCTCCTGGAACAATAAAAAGAGAACACCCCAAAGAGCTGCTCCAGATGTATGTCTTTAATGAAAAGAAGCACAGCAGACTGTGTCACATGTCATCTGAGACTTGTGTGGGATCTTATGAATTTCTTAACTCTGGGTATGCAATGCTCCACAACTCCTTTAATTCTTAGAGAATATATCTCAGCTATAACCTTCAGCAAAGCAATTTATCAACCTACAGGGTTCAATTGCTACATTACCAGCCACATGAATGATAGAGCAGTGTGCACTTTATGTCTTCTCTCTCTCCTTTTCTTTCTCAGTCTTCTCCACCACGTCAGCTCAGAAGTGGTATTCAATTTAAATGCAACATGCTGTGTAATGTCTGTGCACCGCTGCCATTTCTATTCAGGTTCTTGCAATGCTACACTGGAGAAGCTCATGGTGTTCCATCTTTATTAATGTGTCTTGCCACTAATTTGGTTCTCCTGCAGCGCTGCCACCCACCCTCTCACTTCTCCTCCTATTGCGAGTTATCTGAATCAAAAGGCTGTGACCTTTCTGAATCATTAAGACTTCCTGTGAGCCTGTTTTATGGCTCATCAGACTGTGCAATACAGGGATCACTTTCCCTCTCACCACACTTGACTGAATGGTTATGGTTTCCTTGCTGCTGGAGATTCTTTTGTAACAAGCTCCGATGGGTAATGTCAAAATGAACATTTATCTTTGAGAGGCTATAGTTCTCCAAAGATGTTTTCCTTCCAGAGTTAATTAATGAGGCTTGTTGGTGATAAAATCATCAGTGTTGCTTCATTAGCCTTTTCACGTTCTTCATATGTAAACAGTAAATCATCAACTAAAATGGAGATTGGAAGCACTTACATGGTGCCCTTCTATCGTACCAGTTAACAAAGAGCTTTACAGTTTTTGCCTCTTGCCCAGTGACATTTCAGAGTGTGGACAGGTGGACCAGGGGATTAAATCATCAACCCTACAATTAATAGACAACCCCCTCTACCATCTGATCCATAGCAGCCCCCAGAGCATTTGAAAGCAGCATTGAAGATATATTGTCTTATTGACAACATGAGAAGAGAACGCTGAGCAACATGACTGTTGAGTGCATGCAGATATTGTAATCATATACAATGTATCATAATGTACAAAATTATACAATTGATACGTGATGTATTTATATAAAATTATATTTTTAATCAAATGATACCTAATTATATTTGGTTATTTTTATATATATAACATAAAACTATATAATTTAATTCTCCAGAATTAAATAAAGTTTTGTCTCCTGTAAATCCATAAGTGTGTCAAATCTAGGTGTTGCCAGTCACTGGGTTGGATGCATTCCAGCAGATGTCTGATGGTAGGGAGAGTGGGGAGACTGGTGCACATCCTCTGTTGGTAGGAGGTCTGAGCAGAGAGGCTGCCAATGATGAGCAGTGATGTGGCCTCTTTATCCATCTCAGTCTTTGGTGACCTGTACCTAGCAGAAGGCTTTACGACAATAGATTAAAAAATGGACTCACTTATCAGTATAGTATTCTTAGTAATGCCGCCATGTCCTTGGCAACACTGCCATCTCATGTGTGGGCCAGAGGGTCACATGAATGTGCATGTTTGTTTGTCAACATGGTGGAAATTACCACAGAAAAAAGCTGAATTTAGTCTTGTTCTTTGGCTGTTTCTACACTGAAGCAGCCAAAAATTAGATCAAAGCTGGAGTGCTCAGTTTAGGTGCAGCTGAAAAATCTTCACAATAACACAATGTTGCATTATCTCTGACATTATCAAACACTGCCTGCGTGGCTGCTTCAGTGTTTGGAGCCATGTCAGGGATTAAGTAACACTGGGACATTGAAAACTCTCTGTTCTGTGCTCCAATACCACTTTTACATTTTTAGCTTCTGTTGCCATCAGTGGTACAAGTGTAAAAAAAATTGCTAGCTTAGGGAAAATTAGTAAAATATAAGAATAAAAATAAGGAGTGATATGTGGACAGCTGTAGTTCAGATGGTCGTGCAGGTTGTCCTTTAATCACAAAGCTGGCAGTTCGATCCCCTCCATATGCTGAAGTGTTCCTGGACAAGACACTGTACACCAAATTCCTCCCAATGGCAGGTGAGCGCCTTCCTTTGCCACCATTGGTGTGTGTGAATCGGAAACGTTGTAAAATGCTTTGAATCCCACTATGGTGGAAAAGCACTATGTAAGTGCAGACCATTTATCATGTAATGTCTTTAGATTTTGTATATATTTAAACATAAAGCAGAATTATCACCTTTTTAAACAATGGTAGCAAAAGCTGAGATTGTACACATTCATTGAAGTAGAACACTTGAAACACAACTTTACCCCATTCTTCTTTCAAAGCTGCTCAGGCTCTGTCAGGTTGCACAGGAGTCGTGAGTGAACTGCCATTTTCAAGTCCAGCCACAAATTGGGTTGAGATCTGGCTCTGACTCAACCCCTCCAGAACAATCACCTTGTTGTCTTTAAACTACTTCTTTGTAGCTTTGGCTGTATGCTTTAGGTCATTGTCCTGCTGGAGAAAAAAATTCTACCAAATTACAGTTCACTCGCAGACTGCATCAGGTTGTCCTCCAGTATTTCCTGTTCTTCATTCTGTATTGCATTCATCTTACCCTCTACCTTGGCGGGCCTTCAAGGCCCTGCTGCAGAGAAGCATCCTCACATCATGATGCTTAAGCTTGAATACTCCTTCAGAGGAGTCATAGGGGTCTTAGCAGCCTCCCTCACTCGTCTCTTTTCTTGTATGGTCGCAGTTTTGATGATGGCCTGCTCAAGGCAGATTTACATGTGACATATTCTATCCAGTTTTTAATAATGGATTTAACTGTACTTCAAGGGATATTCAGGGACTTCAAATTTTTTCTTGTATCCATCCCTAGTTTATGCTATTTCCATAACTTTTTCACAGAGTGGTTTGTAGTGTTTTTTGCTGTCATGGTGTAGTCATACCCAGGAGAACTGATTCACCAGTGACTGCACCTTCCAGATAAAGGTAACCTTACACTTCAATCACTTGAGGCACATTCACTGAAGTCAGGTCACCTTCACTAAGCTATTTGTGTGACTTCTAGCACGAATTGGCTGCAACTGTGGTTAGCACTGTCGTCTCACAGGTAGAAGATCATGGGTTCAAATCTTGGCCTGGGGTCTTTCTGTGTGGAGTTAGCATGTTCTCCCTATGTGGGTCCTAACTGGGTTCTCTGGCTTCCTCCCACAGTCCAAAGACATGCTGAGGTTAATTGGTGATTCTAAACTTAGAAGACCATATTTATACTCAGTGCAATGACTAAATGAAATAGTTACATATTTTTCCTTTTTTCACAGGGAATACACATGGGTTCCACATGAATCCAGAGGGTTTCACATGTTTCAAACCACGTTTACCATTTGAAAACTACATGTTTTGCATGTGATTTCAACACATTTTCAAATAATAACTCCCCATGTGCAAAATCACCTAACATATGGTCATGTGTCCACGTGTGTTTTTGCACATGTGAATTCCATTAGGTTTTTCTGTCAGGGCTGGATACTTTTTCAAAGTCTATTTACATTGACCATGATTTAGTGTTGAAAAGCATTCAACAGTGGAGGGGATCATATTTTCTTAGGCACTGCTACCCTGAGGGCCAAGCTTAAAATTCATATATAAAAATGTCGAGTAGGGCTTTAAGATTTGGCAATGCTCTGTGAACTTAGTACAAGTTTATTCATGATTTTTTTTCCCTAAGTAAATTCCATGACATTACCTGGGTAAGTGAGGTGAATTGGCATGGAATGACCTGTATGTGAAGGCAATCAGGGCCAATAAGTGATTAAGAAGTACGTGAAAACTCTATACATTTCTCTATACAACTATATTTTTATATTTTTTCATTTAATTTCATACTAATGTTTACTGTGAATAAATTCCTAATTTTAGGTATTTATGACGTAGTAAAAAACTAACCTTGCAATAGCCCTTTATGGCAACTTTGGCATGACATGTTGCTTTGGGACATGCACCTCTCTGTGTTAATCTAATGACAATTTAAACAAAAAGATTTCATTTTGATACATACAGGGTTAATTGATGAAGGAAAAGCAATTTCAACATGTCACTGTCTAAATATGTGACTTGGCGACTTTTCTACAAGTTTCTAGTTCGGACTCAAGTTTAACATACCAAGGGCTGGAAATTGGTCCCCCTTAGAGAACTGCTCTCCATTCGCACCAAGGACTAGACAACTGGACTGTAAGGGTCAGACATTGTATGTAAATTCATGTACTGTCTAGACTCATGTTACAATGTCTTGCATGGTTGAAGAACTTAATTGTAAAAGTCACCCATATCTGAATGACACAAACTTGTCACTTCAGTAGCTTTACAAAACAGCAGTGTCACATACTCCATATCTGAAAAAGACAATAAAGAGCAGAGCAGAGGTATAAAACATGAGGTCCCGGTACCTTTAATACAAATATTGATACAACTTTTTTGTTATTAGCTTAACTTGCATAATCCCGTGACAGACGTCATAGCAGGAAAGCCAGAGGAATTAATAAAATTAATGATGGCGGTATTCCAGTAAGGCCTTATTAGTTCTATTAGTTTCACCGGCTCTAATAAATCAAAATGATTACATTGAAAATCATTTATTGCTGTTAAATGGAAAGGCCATTACAAACTGTCAGCTGACTTTGGCATGTAATGCCATTTTTGGGTTCATGGATCACCACTGCTGCTTGATGAGCTACTTATCATCTTCATACAAGACTTCATCTATCAACACATCATTGTCATCGACAGGGATTTCCTGACAAAGCTGCTCTTTGAAGGCCAAGGCAATGGTGTAGGGCTTTCCTTTGGGGTGTCTGTTGCAGCGCTCCAAGAAGTTGTCATAGAAGCCCTTCCCTCTTCCCAGACGTTTCCCAACCCGGTCAAAGCCCAGGCCTGGCATCAAGATCAGGTCCAGACCTCCTGGACAGGGAGAGTAGACAGCGTAATCAATATTGTATATCTGAAATATGTCTAAATTTGTGTGCATACATGAACCATTGATGTGAATCTGTATCTACAGATATCTTAAGAGATTTTATATTTTATTGTAATACAGTCAAACAATTCAATCTCAGTGATGGTCCCCTCTGTCATTTAAGAGAGGATGGCAAGAAGTCAAAAAGTACAAGGAGACAAGTGAATGGAGGATAAGAGATTGTAGTGGGGAAAGAAATGTGCACTGAATATGGGCTTCTTCACAATATAAAAGGCAATCCAAAAGAAAAAGGAGGAAATTAATGAACACAATTGTTACTACACACTATTTATGTTCCTGGAACATAAATGGTCATGCAGTACGGGCTCTACTGGATGTGCTGAAAGAGGCCTGGGAGGGACCAAACCCTAAAAAAAGCTGAAATGTTCTCTTATATGTATTAAAGATGAGAGACAAGCTTGAACACTTCCAAAGAGTTGGCCAATATTCACCTGATAGTGCTCAGCAGCATCAAAAGCAGAACCACCACAAAGCAGTTCACCAGAGAATTTCTAAGAGGGACAGAAATTTGTACTTCTACACACATCAGAGAGCGGTCTTCTGGCTATGTGGCAGGGCCCTATACGATCAACAGGAATGTAGGTCCTGTCACCTATGAACTCAACATGCCAAATTTTCATAAGAAGCACCAAGTGTTTTATGTTAATTTGTAGAAGAAATGGTTGGATAAACCTGCATCATCAACACAGTTTTGGGCTTACACTGTGATGGAGAAACAGGAACCATAGGAGCAGTTCTTTCCTGCTGTGGCTGAAGAACAGTCAATCCCTAAGATGAGTCATCTGTCAGCAGACCAGCAGGAGGAGCTCCAGGCTATCATGCTCGTTGAGTTCTTCAGCACCAAGCCAGGTTTCACAGACCTCATTAAATATCAGATATGTCTCTGTTGTCCCAACCAGCTGCCTATCAGGGACACGACCTCTAGAATATCTGCTAAGTTGATGTCTGCACTGAAGCAGGAGGTGAAGAAAATGCTCACTATAGCCATCACTGAGCCAGCTACAGGTCAGTGATATGCTGGTCCCCAGAAAATATGACAAAGATTTGGTGTTTCTCTAAACTGAATGTTGTTGATGCTTTTGATGCATACGCTATACGCAGAGGATACCATAAGAGTAGAGAATTTGATTAAGCACTTGGGAACAACAAGTATCTTGCAACACTTGACCTTTGTAAAAGGTATTGGCAAGTCCCACTGAGTCTTCTGAAGACTTGAGAATATTTAGGATTCCTAGTGGACTTGCAGTTTGGACTGTATGGCGCTTCGGCTACGTTTCAGCAGCTGGTGGATGAAGTTCGAAGAGGAGCTGATGGCTACGCTGCAGCATACAATGTGGTGTCCTTCACATTCAACATCTCTTGAATGTCCTTCAACGGATCCTTAAACCTGGACTTGTCATCAATGTGCGCCAATGTCACATCGCCAAGACAGAGGTGGAGTACCTTGGTTACATCATCAGGGTGGGGTCATCTGTGCCCAGGTAAGCAAGATTGAAGCCTTAGCTGCCTATCCTCCTCCAGCTACAGAGTAAAGGTAAAATTGTCGATTGAGCAGGTATAATAAGCTGTACCACAAAAACGAAAATGTTGCCAGACTGCCTAATCCACTAACAGAGTTCTGGAGGTTAAAAATGGCTCTCCTAATATAACTAAGGAAAAAAATATTTTTAATATGGGCATATTTGTCATTTTTTGATCCCTCTTTGTAATCTGGGGGAGCACAATGAACTGTTACTTTACCTATCATACTTAATGAATTCATATCATCGTTGGAAAAGATGCTTGAAGGTAAACTCTTAAGTACTTACGATAAATACATGCGGTTGGCATACGATCCAGTTTGTGACATCGGTCTTAAAGGCCAAATATCTCTGAATTTATTTATTATATCAAGCTAAAATTTCACAATTATCTTTTATTATTCACACTTTATGCTAAATACATTTCAGACAAATCACAGATGGTCAAGCAGAACCTGGAGACATCTTTTCAGCCAGTATTTTGGCACTTGTGGTGCTATCTATGGATGTCTTCTCTCCAACGCTTTTTTTCACTCATTCAGCCCCATATCATCACACTGCGACTTCCATGCTGCGCTGTCACGACAATGCAATCACTCCAGTAATCCTAGCCATGTTCACGCCAAATATGCTGGGCCCCATCTGAGCTGAACAAATTTATTTTAGTCTCATCTGACCAAATAATATTCCAGCTGACACAAATATGCACTTCCATGACAATCGCTGACTGTGTAGACTCATAAGTTTTTGTGTGTTGCTTAGATTGTGTGGTGGTCCATATGATGTATTGTATGTTTTGCATCGTCGCCATGAGGCATAAGAAAACCTTCTGCAAGCATGCATTAGGTTGCTGTATAACATGTGTTGAACACACCAGATAAATTTGATGAAAATTAAAAGATGTTTTGTCATTTGTCAGAACATGATACATGAGTGGGAATATTAATGATTAATCATTAATCCACTAATGAAGGATTTTAATATAGATTTGTTAAATCCAAACAAGAACAAAGTGACTGATGAGTTTATTGAAACAATTTATAGCATGAAGTAATATCTACTGATCGTCAGGACGAGTAGCGTAACGACAAACTGTTCTGCTTTAATTGACAATATCTTCACTAATTATATGGTAAATGACATGGTTAGTGGACAGCTGATAAATGATATTAGTGACCACTTCCCAGTATTTACAGTTTGCAGCTATAATTGTTAAGAGAGAAATGGACAAAGGAAATCAAATACAAACGTATGTGAAATGAAACTATGGAAGCTATGGAAGTATTAAAAAATGAATTACTTTTACAAGACTGGACCGTGGTTTATTAGGAACACAATGTTAACACAGTGTATGAGATCTTTTTGAACATATTCGTATCATTGCACAATAAATACTGTACCACTGAGATAATCAATCAAAAACAAAACTATAATGGAAAAGCCTGGATTATGAATTTTGTTAAAATTTACAACAAAATTGTTCAAAGCAAACAACAAGTTACTACCTGAGAACATTCAGCAAGTGTTTTGCAACATTGGAAACTTTGAATTAGGAAGAAATTTAAATTGTAAAAAGCCATTTGCTCGTAACATCATGAGTAGGTGTCTATCAGTTTGTGAGGTAAGCTCATGGAACAGACTAGACAATGATCTCTAAATGAGTACAACTATAAAACAATTTTAAAAAGAATACACAAAAAGATTGCTTGAAAAATATATGAATGTGGAACAGTGAATGTGTTCTTGGAGTTTCTAAAGATGTACAAAAGCATGAGGATTGAAGGTAACACGAAACATTAAGATATGATGAGATGTACAGATGTGTAACAGGTAGGAGCTAATAAGTTAAACTTCCTCCTACTCATTTTCAGACATTATTTAAGTTGTGGACTTGGTTTGGTTGTTTTGTTTTGTTGTTATTGTTTTGTCATTTTTTGTATTTTCTTTTCTTTTTTTTTTGCCTTTATGATACTGTGGTATGTCTGAAATTAATCACATAAATACAATAAAATTAACAGATTGCTGATAATGTAAATGATTAAAAATATATTAACCCACAGACATACATGTTACGAACTGCACTGCAGACTAGCTGTAGTAACTGTGTCGGCCACAAGGGGGCAGTTCTGTCTTGGCAAGCAGAGAGCATTGTGGGAGTTTAGATAGTAAAGTGCAGAGAAAGTCTATTTAATGCCTTCTGGACAGAGCTCTTGTTTTTTTTTATTGTGAGCTGAAGTTCACTGTGACAGCGTCAGTACAGGCTTGTGGCCGACTGCCTGCACCAATTACACAGCTCATGTGACGGGACATTAAGGTGCTGGAGCAGTTGATACCACATGAATACATTCAAAGCAGTGTCACTGGGACACAGAATGACGTCTGCTGACTTTATTAAGTAATTAAATAATTAGTTGTTGATTTATAAGGCTACAGAAGATCAGCTACAAAGACTGTTCAAACCTAACATGAGGGCTGCAAGTCTCAAGATTTTGCCACATCCTTGATAAAGAACCATAAAAAATAAAAAATAAAAAGTATTTCACCACCTCTGAGGCATGCAGAAAGTTGTGGAAGTTTTCAAAAGCACCTTTAGCCCCTAAAAAGTGACCTACATATGGAATATTAAAAATAATACTCTTATTGATGCAAGAGGGCTTTCACACCTCTCAATGCTTGGGCACTATTTAATTATTGTTATTATTGTCATGGTCATTTTTTTTTTTGTCGTTACTGATTCTGGCGTGTGTGTGTGTGTGTGTGTGTGTGTACATATGTATGAACAAGCTCACCTGTAGCCAGAGCTTCATCTCTGCTGTTGTCATCTTCAGCAGGCTGTCGGATGTTCCAGGATGTCAGAGGCAGAGTCTCCATGTCCTGCAGACTGTTGAGCTTCAACATGTCCATATGGCTGCTGTTGCTCTCATATCTGGGGATGAAGCAGGTTTTGCCCCTTTTAAACACATCTCTGAGGACTTCCTGAGTGCACACTTCATCATGCATGCTGAGAAACACTGCAATGCGTTGAGCGGACACATATTTGGGATGTCTGATCAACTAAAAGAAAAGACAGAGGAAGAGAAAGTTGGAATCAATGACAATATCAGAGCCAAAGAACAAAAAATGAACTAATTAATTCTATTCAATCAAGAGTCTGGATTTTTTTTTTCAATAACCAATAAAAAGATTTCAAAGAAAAAAGCTTAATTCTTGTACGTAAATAACATCACAGTTTCAAACTATCAGTATATCAGCTACAGCCCAACAAAACACCAAGACAATGGACAGCACCTTAGTAGCCAAATATCTACTGCATGCCATGTTTTACCTTTGACAATTTAACTAAAAAATAAAAGTCGCCACAACAATCTTAAGCCCTTTTCAGAAATGGGATACAAATCATTGCTGCTTCATCTAGTTATGGACCACCTTTATGTTTTGAATGTTCTTCATGGCTTCACTCAGAGATGGAGAGCCATGGTCGGCATGTGATACTGTACATCAAGAGACAAAATCTGAACTAATAGCAGCTTATGAAAGTGTCCAAATAACTAATAGACTAGTTTATTTAAGATTTCCTAAAGACTAATAATTCTGTCCATATGGGATGATAACCTAACTACTACTTCACCAACAGTAATGACTTGTTTCACATGCATAAATGTGTTCAGCTCTATTGCTCTGAACATGCTCATATGGATCCTGCTGCTGTCTGATGCTGAAGGTGTTTCATAAACTCAGAGTAAAGACTCCTACAAACAGCTGGAAGCAACAAACTGAATTTCAACTCTTGTTAATGTTTTGTCAAAGAACCACTTTGACATGGAGAGCATCATTGATCCCAGTCTTAGTCTTTGTTGTCATTGCAGTAAAGCTTTACTTTTGTGGATGTTTCAGTTTGAATGAGGAAGGTGTTTGGGGGGTTTTGGCTGTAATCTGTTTTTTGAAGCTTTGGGACTTCACTTCACAGGAGCAGTCCAAACTAGTGTCACTTCACAGTGAAACGTTAGTGGGTCCGACAGAGTAGGACTGGAACACAAGTCCCACTGTGAACTTTTCTATGACTCTATAAGAGGCCGTGACATGATGAGCTCAGGCTGACAGCTGTAGGATATTAGAACTATGTCCAAGGCAGTTTATTGTGATCACGTTTCACTGAAGACACACAACAGTATCTCTGTGGCAGAAATAAGCGTCCCGTTTTTAGTAATACAGTTAGAAGAAGAAGAAGCTAATAGCGGACTCTATAATATGTGTAATCGCTCCGTGTCCTTACCTTCTGTGAGACCACCAGAGACTGTCTTTGCTTTTCGGCGTCGCTCAGCGCCGCCACCCGTCTCTTGATGTCTCTCCTCAGAGCCTGCTTGGCTGCTCGCAGGGCGGACATCGACATCCCGACCACGGCCAGCTACACACCCAGCTCAGTGGAAACACGATTCAAACAGCAGCTCAGAAGTGAATGTGTCTGCGGTTCGGTTGTGTGGAGGCGGTGATTTCCACATTTGCTCTGCTTCATGCAACTTTGCAAAAGTTAAACATTGACAGGATGTGATCAGTTCAGCAGAGAGCTGCTGGACACTAACAAAGCTCCGCACATGTCCTCCAGCCACAGCCGGTGCTGCAGGAGAGAAGCTGCTTCTTCTCTGTTTGTTTTGGATCTGTTGTACGATGGAAACAGCTTTCAGGTGCATTACCGCCACCCTCTGGTCTGGAGTGTGGAACAAAGAGCTACCAGCTTTTAAATACTTTTCATTCATTCATTCATTCATTCATTCATTCATTCATTCATTCATTCATTCATAAATAAAAATAAATGTAATTTTGTATTCATTAACCCTTACATACTGTTCGGGTCAAATTTGACCCGTTTTGACATTTGACAGCAGTAAAAATACCCTTAACGTCTTTTAACCTTAACTGACACTTTATTTTATTCATTTATTTTCTGTGCTTAGGACTGGTTCATATGAGGTCGCAGGTTGTGGATTAGTTACTTGCAAGAGTTCCACATTGCTCTGTACATGTTCCTATGGCATACTACACAAGTCTGTAATAACCAGAACTAACATATCAGCTTTTTTCTTCAGCTGTTACAGTCCCTCCAGCCCCCAGCTCAGCACCTCCACCCCAACCAGCTGTTTACTGAGGACCATGACAACGTTGACGTGCCGTTTTAGCCAATGACAGTAGTGATGTGGGGCGGGGCATGCTGAGAACCGACCAATCTGGCGTCGTGGATCGATACAAACCTTGTCAGATGTTGTGAAGGAAGAAAAGGATGTGCAGAAAGGAATTTGGGTAAATAAGTGAAGTCGGTTGGAGACGCAGTTTCCATGTAACAAACTTAATTACATTTTTGAAACATTTACTTCTGTTTGTTCTGTGCATAGTGTTCCTGATGTAGCAATACTTTTATTTTTAACTAAAGGTTGTTGTTAAAACAGGAAATACCAGGTCAACTGTAGAAATTTGAGAATTTTGTGAAGGGAACATTCTTATAACGGACTCAATAATAATAATAATAATAAGAAGAAGAAGAAGAAGAAGAAATCAGATTAATATAGCGCTTTTCTAACTCAAGGAGGAACTCCAAGCGCATACAATGTCAGTTATTCATTCATACACATTCAATCTGGTGGTGGTTGCCACGATTGTAGCCACAGCTGCCCCTGGGGCAGACTGACACAGGCGTGGCTGCCATTTTGCGCCCACGGCCCCTCCGACCCACCACCTCAAATAATCCATTCATACGCATTCACACCAGGCAAGGTGGGTGAAGTGTCTTGCCAAAGGACACAACGAAAATGACAGGGCGGAATCGAAACCTTCCCATCATTGACCGACTCGCTCTACCACCTGAGCCACAGCCGTTCAATGTTCAAATTGCCTGTAAGATTATTCAGAAAGTGATGGCTGGCCTCAAAAGTTGTGTTTGCGTCTACAGTTTAGGGCAACAATATGGATCCAACTCAAGGTCTCTGTTGATTAGAATATACAACTGAAGCAAGCACACACCTGTGCAATATCTATTAAATGTATAATAACCTGCATAACAGCTGAAAAATGTTACAATTAGTAAGTTGAAAGTAGAGTATTTATTCTTATGAACAATCAAACACAGACACTTTACTAAAATCTAAATATTTCTAAAAACTCCGTTTAACAATACAACATACACTTGTGATCACTGACATTCAAGTTAGAAAATGGAAACAGAATTGAGCACATCTGTGATTTCCAACTAGCCTAACTGCATGACCATGGTTAGAAAAGGACTTACACATGTGGACAAAATTGTTGGTACCCCTTGGTTAATCAGCAACTTCCCGGAGGTTTCCACCAAAGGGATCAATAAAGTTGACATGACCTCCGCCTTTGGCTCCACCTAGTGGAGCATTTTTGGTTCTGTTTGTGTTATGAAACATGCTGGAGTGAAGGGGGACCAGGTGCTATGAGTAGGCAAGCTGGAGCCAGAGTTTCTTCTGGCTCCAGCTCTCCATATCCTCCGTGTCCCTCCATTGAAGTCATCTGGTCCACCTCCGTCTCCTTCGGCTCCCCAACCCTTGCATCCAGTTTTGTAATTTTTCAATCTCTCGTCTACTCAATTAGTAATTCTAGCATTTGGTTTGTATTCTTGCGGTAAGTTTGTTTGTAATTTGTAATTCTAGTTCGTCGCCCTCTATTGGACGTTTTGATCAAATTCCTTATAGTAAGCATTTGTTAGTGGTAGTTTTGATTGCTGCCTTGTTTGTTACTTGATTTCACAATTAGTGTTTGTATTAGTGAATAAATATTCTCATTGATTTTCCAACTGTTTGGTGGTCGAGTCATCTGTCTGCACTTGAGCCTTTGTGTGTAAATCGTGACAAAAATTCTATTCTATTCTATTCTATTCTAATGAAAGAAACACCCACAACGGTCACAGAAATTACTTGAATCTAACAAAAGTAATAATAAATAAAAAAAATCTATGAAATTGAACCAATGAAAATCAGACATGCTTTTGAACCGTGGTTCAACAGAATTATTTTAAACAATAAACTCATAAAACAGGCAGAAATGATTTCTGTACCTGTCAATGAGACTTGTGCACCTCTCAACTGTGTGGGAGGAAGCCAGAGAACCCGGAGAGAACCCATGCTGCACGGGGAGGACATGTAAACTCCACGCAGAAAGATCCTGGGTGTCCTCATCGGGACGCAAACCGGCGACCTTCTTGCTGCGAGGCAACAGTGGTAACCACCGAGCTACCTTGCAGTCCTATTACAATAGTGATCACATTGAAGATACTGTTCCCACAACTGATGTATGTAGGAAGAGTAAGTAAAGCATCTATAGAATATATTTGTTGTGCCTTCTGTTGTTTGTGTTGAAGTGAACTGCAATCATTCTAAATTTCTCTTTTTCTCATACACATTGGACTGTTGTGAATGACTTTTTTTCCCTCACTGAAAATGCTGCACATTTAGAAGCTGTCCCTTTCAGAAGAACAGAACTTAAACACAGTGTCTAAACTACAGATTTGCTTAGTCATTTACTGGTCTGGTTTGCATTAGCTTCCAGAGGTCTGGGCTAGGGTGGATACTGCAGGCAGCCTGTGATTGGCCATGCAGTGGGAGGCGGGCCTGTCCAAAGTTACACATCTGGAAGAGCTTTGTTCAGTCATTTGGTTACTCAGTAAGGTTGAGTGAAGAACCAGTGCCAAAGAAAAGATGTCCTTCATAAAAGTAGACGCAACTTCTGACTTCTCAATTCACAATCTTCCTTATGGAATATTCTCCACATCTGATAATGTAAGTGCAGTTTGCTTAGTTCTACAGTTTGCAAACAGATTTGTGGTCGTTAAAACTTTTAAATAAACTTGGATCAGTGAGGAAAAAGTTTTTAAAAAAAAAAAAGTTTATTGAAGTACACTGAGAGAAATGTGTATTCAAGTGTATGGCAGCTATCAGTTACCTCTACTTTCTGGGCCTTAACATTCTCATCATGAGCAAGGAGGAAGTGTAGTATGAACTGTATGTAGTTACATGTTTTTCATGCGCATGTATCTCTGCAGCCCAAGCATCGTATTGGTGTTGCCATTGGAGACCAGATCCTGGACCTGAGCGTAATAAAGTCCTTGTTTCGAGGACCTGTGATTTCCAAACATCAGGATGTCTTCGACCAGGTAAGTTAAACCACTAAGAGTAATGAAAGATGGGGCACCAGCACTCAGGTTACCATTTCAGGCTGACGCGACTCAGACTTACTGTGTAACATCATAACAGCAAGTAGAAGTTCCATATAACAGGTCCTTTGACCTGCTCTTTATCATACTACAGTATAACAGGATGATCATCTCGTAATATTACTCTTGAAAAGTCAGCCCAGTGAATTTAATATGTGTAGTCTTTATGTCCCTTCCATTTTAAATACCCTTAGGATTTATTCTTGGGTTTCCTATCATGGGGTATTAGACGGAGGCAACAAAATTCACGTACCTTTTACATTCTGACAAAGCAGGCTCGAGCAGAGGAGGAAGAACTCCTTGTGAGAACCTGACGTTTTTGTAAAAGAAGCAATACTGTGATGGAAAAAATATTAATACAAGACAAAGTTGGCATTTTTAATTTTTACTAAAGTAGAACTACAGACATAAACACAAAATGTACTAAACACACCACAAAACCAACGCTTACAATGACGCTTTGCTATATTTTCTATATATAAGGGTTTACAGGTTTACCATAAGCAGGATATTAACATTGCATCATGTGGTGGAGTAAAATCCATAATATTTGTAATTAAGTTTAGCGGAATAGAGGTCTAACATTTATAAGAAGGAAAGTGGTTAGCTAAAGTTTAAACACCTCAAAAAGCATTAACTGCAACTTTCAACAAAATAAACGCTGCAATGACTTTATCCCATATTTATTATGTTCACACTTTAATGTCCAGGGAGGAAAATACTCTAGAGGTTCTATTCTATTCTTTACATTGTCAAAACATGGTTTGTAGTCTCACCCAATGTTGTGTTTTTCTAGGAGTTTCATTCATTTAAATGTGCATTGTATAAATATGCCAACTGTGTGTATGAAGGGCTGCTTGTTGTGTTGTGTCTTTATTGTTGTCTGTGTCTTCTTACAAGCCAACGCTGAATGCTTTCATGGCTCTTGGTTATGAGGCCTGGAGGGAGACCAGGAAGACCTTGCAAGTGTTGCTGTCAAATAGTGAGGGCACACTGAGAGATGACGTCAGCCTTCGGAGCAGGTCAGTCTGTGCAAAGGATTACATTTTCATCAGGATGCTGCTTTGTGTTACTACACCGTTGCCCATCAAGTTGGAATATTTTTTGTTTTCAGACACGTTCCTCTTTTTATTTCTTTTTATATACATCAATAATCACTTCTGACCAGGTGCAATGATGACATACTGAGTCCCAGTTACCAGGTGAAACCAATTCTGACTTCAGGATCTGACTGAAGAGTGGGACGTCCTGCCCACTGACACCATCAACAAGCTGGTGGACAGTATGCCACAATGTCTTCATGCATTGATCCATGTCAGGGGTGGCCATACTCAATATCAGTGACTGAGTTGGACATTGGACATTGGACATTCTGATGCATGAAATCCCCTCAAATATGTTTCCTGT